AGAGAGAGAGACAGCATGAGACAGAGAATAAAAATAACAGTAATAATAATGGAAGCATACACCGTGCCATAAACATCAGGCAAATAGGGGAGGGAAATTCGGCAGAAAATTCTCCATGGCAGAAGTACTGGGGTATGAGGGAAAAAACCTTACTCATGTCTTCTCTATAAAAGGGAAGGCAGAAGGCAAAAGAATGGGAAGGTAGAAGTGTGAGAAAAAAAAAACAGAATAATAAACTACAAAAAAGAAATATTAGACAACAAAAAACAGGGAAAAAAACTAAGTTCAAAATCAAAGAGGGATGGGGTCAAAGTATAAAAAAAAAGGAGGGGGGGGAGCAAAGGTTGCAAAAAAAATCAAAATGAAAGAAAAAGGGCAAAGAAAAAAAAACACCTATAGCAAGAATGATGGGAGTCTTAGAACATTGTCACCACGAAGGGGGAGCCCGGAATGTGCTGATCTCCGTAAGTCACAAGGATCAAGTAGTTTCCGTGGTCTTTGATCTTGTATCCAACCTGTATTTGTGAAAGATCGTTCAGAGTCCGCTTTCATGCTACGGCACAAGTCTCTTTCTATATAAAATACATATACATATATTTGAGAGGGGGATTTTTTTTTTTCTTTTTTTTTTTTTTTGTATCTTATCTGTGTGACATTGCTCTTCTTAAACTCCTCTGATTATGAAAAAAAGTTCTATAAACAAGATATAAAAAGGAAAAGAGTGAAAAAAGCTTCAGCCTGTTAAGTGAGAAGATAATGATATTCTAAGATTTCTTTCCTAAAAAAATATGCTAATCTTTCTGCCATTTTAATTAATCTCTATATCTATATACTAATGTCAGTTAAAAGAAAAAATAATAAAGAATAAATAAAATGAAAATGAAAGGGAAGAAACTGAAAAAAACAGATAGAAGTAGGGGTCACTTAAAGAATAATAAATTCCCATGAAACATAAAAGTGATAAAAACATTATCATACTAAACACTACAACTAGAGTACATATGAGCAGCCAGCAAAGAAAATGAATGGAAATGAAAACCATAAAAATCTCTCAATGGAAGAAGAAGAACTATCTCAACATCTCTTTCTGATGGGGGACACCAGCTCCATGTCCTCTTTTTCAACAGCAACCCATAAGGAGGGTTGTTCAACACTAGTCCTGAAAATGGAGAGGGACTGAATCACTCTTACCTGATAATTGTTATGGCCAATATGCTTGATATAGACCTCTTCACAAGGTGCTTTGGGGCCGTATACACCAACATAAAGGATGTTGTTACCTGTTTGTGAGAAAAAGAGGAGAAAAAAATATAATAATGAAAATTCCACCAGATACTTAAATCCTCATATTTGCTATATTTTCAAAGTTTGAGGAAGAATGAGAGAAGGAAAGAGAGACAGAGAAAGGGAGAGAGAGAGGGAGAAAGGGAGATGGGGAGGGGGAGGAACAAAGGGAGATTGAGAAAGGGAGGGAGGGAGGGGAGGGGGAGGGGAGAGAGAGAGAGAAAGAGAGAGAAAGAGAAAGAGAAAGAAAGAGAGAGAGAGAAAGAGAGAGAAAGGGAAAAATTTTCTCGGAGTAAAAACTTCTGAGTTCATGATACAATGAACACAAAAAACAAAAACAAACAAAAAATAAGACGT